CTACACGCATCTACCCTGTACAACAAAAAGTCTACACGCATCTACCCTGTACAAGAAAAGTCTACACATCTACCCTGTACAAGAAAAGTCTACACGCATCTACCCTGTACAAGAAAAGTCTACACGCATCTACCCTGTACAACAAAAAGTCTACATGCATCTACCCTGTATAACAAAAAGTCAACACGCATCTACCCTGTACAAGAAAAGTCTACACGCCTCTACCCTGTACAAGAAAAGTTTACACGCATCTACCCTGTACAAGAAAAGTCTATACGACAGGCCAGAATCTCAACCACACGGTTCAATCAGTTCTATGTACATGCAGCTATATATTTTTGGTTCGACTTCCATGAGTTATAATTGATACTTCTGCGCAGTTCGATCTGTTCGTGTTTTACATGCTCAAAACCGATTCAGTATACTGCGGGTTCTTGCTGCGGCGTAGACTTGCACATACAGGTGCAAGGAAATTTTCGACCGTTGGGGCAAGTGTGCATGTACATGTTCATAATGTACATATTCGTGTGGTTCATGCTCGCACAGTACAATGTACATGTCTAACTCGGGATATGTACCGTGAATTTCAACATTTTCCTTGCATTTTTATAATGACAGATATACCTCGCGGTTACAAAAGTGAACTTGATGTTAACTTACTGTACTTTTTGAATTTGTATTCCGTTCCCAAGTCACTGAATTCTTACGCTCGCAGGACCGTAAGATTTAATGCGGAATGAACGGAATTGGTGCCGAGTTAGGTCGATATGCAAACGCGTCTGGTCAGGACAAGCATGGGGGTGTGATTCTACCTCCATGGGACAAGAAACAGAAAAAGCTAGCGTCAAACCGTCAGCAAATCTAAACCCTTTAGACCTTTCTCCACCAAAGCCCACTTTTGAAAACTTCAGGAAAACTTCGAATTCTTTGTTTCGAGTCTTCAGAAATCGCATCGAAACGTAAACAAACCACCGCTGTCACAAAAATTAATTCTCAACTTAATTTTCACCAAACACGTAATAGGAAAGGACCTTCTCTTACTTTGAAATATTTTGGGCAGGAATACCACGTAGGGCCTAAATTTCATGAAATGAAGCAGCTGTTTGCCTGGCACAAATTCCCATGGCCCTCATTACGCAGGCAAATGACCTAAAACACGGGACATGCGCAGTTAATAATTTCCCTCTGAAACATACGCGCCTACGTCTTATGTTTGATGAAGTTGTTTCCTAAATTTACGTTAAGTGTTTCCATGGCTGAGAAAATAAGGGAAATCGGTCTGTGCAAGAAAGTTTTAAGGAATAATCGGTGGATTTTATCCTTATGCTAACAGGGGGGTTTTCAGGATTATTCCAAACGTATTGATGCCGTGAATTCGATTATCTTTAGCAAGGAGCGGATGGGATTTGTTATCCGCATTAAGAGGGCCACTTCACTCGTTTCTTGTTGTTTGATTTTACAGTGTCATGGACGAGCGGTCTGTTTGCGTATCTATTTGAATACTTTTCTGTGCCCACCATGTAGAGATTAATAGGTTGATGTCGCTGGTATAGATGCCGTTGTTTGTGCAAAACTGAATTTCCCAGAAAACTTGTACGTAATGAGCTTATTATTCAGGGTACAATCCTTACCTTGAGGAAGTCATCACTGGTCTAATGCAAGGTCACGATAGTGGCTGGGTGACGCTAGTCAACACATAACTCGCCCGTGGGCCCATCAGGCTGGTGTTTCCCACAGAGCGGGGGTTTTGAAACTCTGTATCCAGAGCTTGGTGACGCAAGGACCGGCTCGCTTTTGTATATTTTTTTTCTAATTCAATTAATGATTTAAATTATTCTTCCACAGTGATGATGGAATAAATTTTTCATTTTGTGTATGCTATTAGCTTTGATTTATTACTGTTCTTAGTCTCAATAAAACGTGTCGGTTAACATATTACTCTTAAAATGTTTGAACATGAATTGGTTCACCTCATCGTTATTATTGAGCTAATGGTTTCCGTTTAAATTAAAGGATCCATGAAATGAGGTTTACTTGGAAGCACTTTTTGTGTATCTCTGCACTTGTCTTTGATGTATGAAGACTGTGTGACATCCCATTTGAGTTGCATCAGATGCACAATAAAAACATTTGAAAATTGACCGAGCATTTTTAACATTGAGATTGCCTTCAGTTCTATCATAGGTTTCCTTATGAATGTGCAAATTGCATTAAAACTTTAAAAAATATCGAAAATATGGGTTGAAATTGCCAAAACATTTCCACCAGTTCTATTGAAAACCTAAGGTGCTATTTCAAGGGTTTTATTAATTTTTTATAATGATCCCTCTAAGCGTGCACAATGCAAAACCTGTCTGATTCTTTTTGAACACGAAACAACTTTATACAAAAGATTGACGAATTTTGCTAAAACGGTTATTAGTTTCATTTATGTGCCTGGCCCGTCACTGTCATCCCTTGAACCCTGAATATTCATACTGAAAATTAATCATTCATATAGTAGAACCGGTATATTACATGTCATTACAGGGTACTGATTTGCATTTACAAACAGAATTGGCCCTACAGACACAATGAGGTGGGCATAATGGGCCCGCGGACACAATGGGGCGGACATAATGGGCCCGCGGACACAATAGGGCGGACATAATGGGCCTGCGGACACAATAGGGCGGACATAATGGGCCCGCGGACACAATGGGGCGGACATAATGGGCCCGCGGACACAATGGGGCGGACATAATGGGCCCGCGGACACAATGGGGCGGACATAGTGGGCCAGAAAAAGTTTGCAGACACAATGGGCCATGCGACATAATGGTCTGGAACACACGTTCAATTAACTCGGCAGCCACAGGGGAGTTCAGAGTCAGTGACTGTTGAAACCGCAGGGTATGCTGAACACACTATACAGTACATGTGTTTATGCATGCTCACAGTGCACATTGATTATGTCGGTGACCAGGATGGTATCAGAAGGCTGTTTCAACCTCTTCTCGTTTAAAGCCTCCACTTTCTGTCGGTTGTAAAAAAATGTAAATGCATGACGTTTCGTCATGGGTGTGGACAGTTACTGTTGAATAAACTTCACGCAGCGGGGATTTTTTGCCGACATTTTCACCAGCTTGGTTGCCCCAACCTTGTTCGTCACAACTCATCCTGTTTGTTTTCGTTTAGTTGTATTTATAAATTTACAAATTAACCGTGATCACAGAAATTTATGAACATTATAACGCCAACTTTATTAGTTCCTTATCTCATTATGTTGTATACTTTATGCTTCACCAAAAGCTGTTTCCTTTGTGGAATTCGCTCATCTCGGAAAGGGTTACAGTTTGCGACAATGATCTAATCTTCATGACCATCTTTCGTGTTATTGAGTTCAGCTGGGAAAGACCTATAGCGGATCAATGGGCATAATAAAATGTCATAACTTTTTCATGGATGACTGGCATTCAACTTTTCAAGCACTTTTGACAAAGCGGTTGGCAACCGCTTCGTCAAAAGTGCTTGAAAAGTTGATTTACAGAGCACATAGTGGACATAAAAAGTCAAAGTCTGCTGCTTCTTCATCAGTAACTTTCACGCCCACACATTCCTGATGGAACCATTTTGGGCACCTGCCGCATGCAATCCATCTGATAAGCTGCAGGAAAGGAAAGCAAAAAGTTTAAATTTTTAATAAATTTAACCTTATTCTAACGTCAGTTTGTTAATTTGTCTGGAAAGTAATTATTATAATAGTTGGTTGTTATGTCATTCGCGCTGTATTAGTGAGTTTTAAAGAAGGTCACACGGTGACAGCAATCTAAGCATCCACTCTGTATGCTGCAAGGTTTTTAGATATCATGGTGCACCATTTACATAACAAATTAACACATACTTTTTGTTGCACACACATAACTTCACATGGCATGGATAAAGAAAGGTCCTATTGGTGATCTCGTGGAACAATCTCTTCAGGTCAGCAGCATACTTTTCGAAAACTCGTCAACTTGTGATTTGTCACTATTTCAATTTTTTTCCCACACAGATTACGAAAGTAAATGCATAAAAACTCACTTTCGATTTATCCTTTCTTGTTGCTCTCCTATTGTACCGCAAGCACTTGTGGCAGATGCTCTGTAATGGTATAACAAAATGAAAAGTTTTTGAAATTTGAAATTGTTTTGCTGATATACTGACTAATTCCATTTGTCCTTGTGGAAATCGCTTGGATCACTTGGGAAGAAAACAGTCTTCTTTTGGACACGATGGGTTGAATCACAGAGTCAATTTACTGTAGTTCAACAAACTCTATGCATTCTTATTCACAAATCTACCACTAATGTTTTGTACGTTGTGTCCCATGACTATTTCTGCGCTACAATGCATAGGGTACAAGCCTTTGGAATAAAAACAATCTGCAGAAAACACTTTTTTAAGTAAACACAGAAATGAAAAATGGTAAACACTGTTTTTATTTTAATTCTTTTTGAACTTTAAATAGATATAGTTACAATCAATAGTCATAAATTGCTTTTGCAAAGTGAATTTTTAAAGTGATGAAAATGATGCAATCTTTAAAATGCAAATGAATGCTACTCTAATATATAACAATAAATAACAACCAAAATTGAATTGTTTTAATGTCCGTTTTTCATCAGATTAACCGCGTCAACACAAGTCATTCAAATTTCATGACCACTATTTTAAACAGTAGTAAAGTTTGTCATGTAGGGTCTTGCAATTTGTTCCATGTGAGCACGTAAGTCATATAACCATGGCACTATTTACAGTAAAAAGATTCAAGAAGGTTTTGTGTTTCAATTACTGTTTTACATACCTCACTTGAAACTTCTAGATTAGTTTTATCTTCAAATGGCTCAGCTAAATCCTCTGCGGCTTCAGCAGCCACCCTGTCTCTAGTGCTCCTCCTAGCATTTAGAAGCAAATCTTTTCGATCAAATGTGGTCAAAGATAACCATTAGCTACAATGTACCAACAGGAAGCCTTTATTTAAAATGATTTATCTTCTTACGATATCCCATGACAGTAAAGCGGCCAAACTTTTGCAGATGATCGGGAAATGTCCTAGATTTTCACCAGGGGTGTTAGAATGTAATCTTTTTTAAAATGCTTACATGGACTATCCAACTCTCCCTGTCTTGTGCATTGATTTCATTTTGCATGTTTATGTAATAGAATATTCTTGACTGGAACTTGTTAAATGTAACTGGAGGGAAAAAATCCTACATTAATTCATAACTCAAATATGCAATCAGTATCTACATATCAAAAATTACATACTAATATTTGACAGTAGTTAACAACTCAAGGCTAATTCAAATTGTTAAACAGCGATAAAGAAGCTATACACATACAGTTGATGAAGGGGCGTTTTGTGCCATGTAGTAAATTTTCGTATTTTTAGCTCATTTAAAGCTAATTTTTTTTAAATCATGCGAGGATGTTATGTTAACACCGCCAACCTTCGCCATCATTGATGAAATCCATATTTTGCTCTTTACAAAACATCACCCAACCGCTTACTGCCACAGCCCCCAAATGGCTGTGAGCATAAAACTTTGCACACATCTCTACTGGCAACCCCGTAATCCATTTGAGTGGTTCGTGTACAATTCATACTCCTTTACCTCCTCCTGCCCTGAGGCACCTGTTCCTCATAAAGTTGTCTCTGTGCCTTGCTTTTACTGATTACTTTCCGCTTCCTGATTCTGCCTGTATGTCATAGAAATAATTTTTTTCCAAATATCAGTTTTTGAACAGCAAAAATAAAATGTGATGACTTTATTCCATCTGTACTTCCATTTTAAGGAAACAAATAACAACTAGTTGATATTGGCTATGATCCACTGGTGGTTTTGACAATAACTGAATAAATACAAACAAAAATTAGTAATCTTCCACGTTGGGTTTCAATCGTGCTTCCTCTGAAAATGAAAAATCGGACACTGCCAACAAATAAATTCTGATTGCGTAAGGGTTTCTAAACCAACAGAAGGAATGGAAAAAGAATGGAGTTCTCACAGACATTGGGTTGTAAGTTTGCTTCCTCTGACAACAAAGGGTGGATGGGCAATTTAATTAAACACTATTCCACATGAATTTCTGGACAGGCATGGGTAAAAGAGAAACAGAACACAAACGATTAAATGTGCAAACTAAATTTGTTTGAGAGAAATAAAATGAATAATGTCAGCTACCACGGCCTACCATTATCAGGATGAGATCTTGCTTCCCCTGAAAAATACAAGACATACACAGCGGCATTACAAACTGTTCCATGTATGATGTTGGAAACCAATTAACTTAATTCCATATCTGGTGTTGATCTGTCTTCATTTCATAAAGAAAAAACACAGGCGAAGTTGCTAAAGCCTCTTCTTGACGCGTTACTTGAAAGGAGGGTGTTTCAATATGAACAAACTTAATCCAAGCAGTAACAGGTACCTACAATGAGCATGCATTTTCCTTTTAAGAAAGAGACATGATAGCATTACACATCCCTCCATTCGAAAAGTAAGTGGTTTGAAACCATCCATTGACTGACCAAAAAATAATGCAAAGTGTGTGAACAGATACAAAAAATCCATATGCAAAAAAAACATTCCTTCCTAAATTTTTGTTACTAAATTTTTTTCCCCAATCTTTTGAACAAATTACAAGACTCTTCCAAAGTTTGATGCTGGAAAAAGGGAGGCCTTTAACTTGTTGAAAATGCAAGAGAACCATATATGCCGAAATCAGAAAATTTCGATTTGGTACCATTGCATGTTACAAGTACTCACCAAGATCTGGTGTGGGCCTTGCATCCTCTGTGAAGAAAGAGGAAGGACATAGTTGTAAAATAATCATCAATAGCACTTACTACACAAGAAAGGATTATGGAACTATTAAATTCATGAAGCCAAACAGCTCGAAGTACCAACCTTGATGTGGCTGTGATTTTGCGTTCTCTGAAAACAAAAAATTGGAAAACATTGTCATTTAGAACTTTCCAGTTAATACTGCATGAGAAAGGTGTCTGGATGAGAAAGGTGTCTTTGAAACCTTTAAATTGATGTAATTGAACATCTACACACGAAAAAGGTTGAAAAGGAACAGTTTAAATATGTACCATTATAAAAAAATTGTGCAGAAAGGCATGCGTTTTTAGGCAATTTGTGTTTAGATTCTCCATCTTCTTGACTTCTGCGTAAAATATTGTCATAAAGAAGTCTTCCTTAAACATTACTTGAAAAGAAGGGTAAAATTTTTTTATGTAAACATGTAAATGATGACTGCACTCATTCACAATTCCGTACCCAGATATGGTTGGGATATTGTTGCCTCTAAAAAAAAAGAATAATAAAAAAAAAAAAATCGTTCACTCTTAAACCAACAGAATCATTCAAATACGAATACTGAGGTTTGGTTGGGATCTTGCTTCCTCTAGAAAAAGTAAGACCTTACCAAAAACCACTCTTCCAAATTGTTTCTTCCACAGTGTGTGGGTTTAAAAGTTACAACCTACACATTGAATCAAGTAGGCAACAAGTACTTACCAAGATCTGGTTGGGATCTTGTCTCATCTGAAAAATTGATGTGAAATGGTCTGCTATATAACTTTCTCCATATTGTGGGTTTTTAAAATCAACAAAATTTACTCAATTGAGCCACTTCGTTACTGAAAATAATGAAAGATTTTTTAATGAAGTATTATTCCAAACAAGTTGTTTGACAGTTTGGGGTTTCAAACAAACGAAATTAATCAATTTGGCCACAAGTAATTACCGATATATGAATGTGATCTTGATTCCCCTTAAAGAAAAGAAGCGACATTTTTTAAAGCAATATCGACATCTGACACGGTTGTTTAAATTTTGGGGGTTAACACCAGAAACTAATAAATATGGTCACAAGTCCTTAACGCGTTTTGGTTGAGATCTGGCTTCCTCCAAAAAAAGACATTTGATTGAAGCACTCTTCTAATTAGGTTGTTCCACATTTTGGGAATTTATAACCCCAAAAATTAACCAATTCAGCAACAAGTACTTACCCATATCTGGTTGGGATCTGGCTTCCACTGAAATATGTAAAGGAATGTCACAGGAATAAATCACTCATCCAATCAGATTGTTCCACAGTTTGGATGTCTATAAACCCAAAATTAATCAATTCAGCAACAAGTACTTACCGGTGTCTGATTGGGATCGTACTTCCTCTGAAAAAAAGAAAAGAAAAGACATTTAAATTAAGCACTCTTCTAATCTGAATGTTCGACAATTTGGGAATTTATAACACAAAAATTAATCAATTCAGCAACAAACACTTACCCAGATCTGGTTGGGTTCTGGCTTCAACTGAAAAATGAAAAGGAAAGACATTTGAAAATATCACTCATACATCCAATACGGTTGTTCCACAATTTGGGGGTTTATAAGCCCAAATTTAATCAAATCAGCAACAAGCACTTACCGATATGTGATTGGGGTCTAACTTCCTCTGAAAAAAAAAAGGAAAGACATTTAAATGAAGCATTCCTCTAATCTGAATGTTCATCAATTTTGTTTTTTATAACCCCAAAATTAATCAATTCAACATCAATTACTTACCGATATCTAATTGGGATCGTACCTTTCCTGAAAAAAAAGGAAAGATATTTACATGAAGCACTCTTCTTATCTGAATGTTTGGCAAATGGGAATTTATAACCCAAACATAATCAATTCAGCAACAAGTACTTACCCAGATCTGGTTCGGATCTGGCTTCATCTGATAAAAAAAGACATTTAAATGAAGCACTATTCCAATCTGAATGTTCGACAATTTGGGAATTTATAACAAAAATTAATTAATTCAGCAACAAATACTTACCCAGATCTGGATGGGATCTGGCTTCAACTGAAAAAGGAAAAGGAAAGACATTTGAATAAATCACTCATCCAATCAGATTGTTCCACAATTTTGGGGGTTTATAACCCCAGAATTAATCATATGAGCAACAATCACTTACCGATATCAGATTGGGATCTTACTTCCTCTGAAGAAGAAAGAAAAGATGTTTAAATAAATCACTTTTCTAATCTGAATGTTCGCAAATTTGGGGTTTATAACCAATAATCAATCAATTCAGCAAAAAGTACTTACCGATAT